CAACAGGTACTAATTTTAAGGCTGAGTCGACATAGGGGAGGCCCACCTCCGTGCTAATATGGAGTCAACCGTGGTAATCGGTAGCCAACCGATTAGCACGGTTGGCTACGTACAGTGCGAAAGAAGTTCTACATACGTACGTGCCCAAGACCGTGTCATATATATATTAGCCGTGGCAGGGAATCGAACTCGGGTCAGCAGGCTCGTAGCGCCATGCGCTAACCCAGTGATCCACCACCACCACCACGACACATTATTGTATTGTGTGACCCATCAAGATTGAATTGTGATTTTTCGACGTCTTTTTTGTTCAACACAAAGGGACACATTTTTCATAAAAGTTGTGTGGGTAAAACACAATGGGCATGGGTTCGCTGCCCCGCGTAGATCGATCACGCGTGCTCACAATTTCCCATCCATATATTCGCAGTCACGAAGCCAATTTTCTCAAGACATATAATTCTGTGGTGGGTGGTGGTGGTGTTGGGTGGGGGGTGGGGTGAGCGGAGAAGTGGGGATCTGTACAAAACAGTGGGAAAGGAACCCTAGGATGGAGAGATGAAGAGAGACAGACACAGCCGGATGAGCAAACAGAGGAGACAGATACGGAGTCAGACACGGGGACAAACGCACCGACACACATGGAGATATCCAGAGGCTGAGACATGCATATAACCATGGAGAGAAAGAGAAACAGAGATGGATGGAGCTCAGCGAGTGAGATATGAAGGCATCGGAGACAGGCATAGAAATACACAGATACAAAAGCATTCAGACATGGGCATAGAGAGACAAAGCCGCAAAGAAAGCCATGCAGAGGGATATGTAGACAACCAAATAAACATATAGACACAGATACAAAAAGAACGACAGACAGACATAGAAGCCTCGAACAATTCATAGAGACCAGGAGAGAGACGTGCAGAGAAGAGGATAAGCCAGAGGCAGAGACACAGACAAAACGGCAGTGAGAAAGACAGACGTGGAGAGACAGAAAGAGAGGGGTGTGGAGTGCTTCGTGAAGTGGCTTAACGGGACGGATTAACCCCGAGACCCCCTCATATTTTGTAGGCCCTACTTTAGGCGCTCCATTCCACATTGAAGTTACAGCCTCTCAGAAATGTTTGGCCTTTGAAATACGATGAAACACACATCCCTCACTTTGCCGCGCCTCGAAGCGAGGAATGTTTCGTTTGTTCAAAGGAATGAGTGTGGCGAACGATTTATGCGCAATGCATTTACGTCGAGTCAAACACATTCGTAAATTTTACACGGGTAAACAAAAACAAAGTTTGATGACTTCATATACATATTTTTGTCCAATTATGTAATTCATACTTCGACCCTTCCCTCGTTTTCGCCTTGGGCACCCTCAAACTCTTAATACGGCCCTGGTTGCATAGCATGGTTTGAATATACTCTGGTGCACGGGATGTAACTGGGAGCCCGACCAAAGCTCATAATTCTAGATTTGAAGCTTTCGTGACTGCGAGGATTCACAACAAAGGCTCATTCCTAACAGCGTGCTTCAGCCGCACAGAACCTCACAAAAATAATATCCAGGGCCTACTTTGGCTCCTCCCACCCTCAACCAGTATATATACAAATACTGTTTCCTTGGTATTTCTCTCACTTGATACAGCTATCGTGCTGTGACGGTTCCACCTGAAGACGGAAGCTTGTGTTGCCTCCGAAGCGTCGTGATTTATTTATTATTATTTATTTTACTTTTATTAATTTTAATTTTTTTACCTACGTGACTTTACCGAAAAAACCTAAGAAAAAGCTCATAATATCGAGCTGGAAGGGAATGGGCCTTGGTGCAGTTGCACCGCCTACACTCCTCAATAGCCACGCCACTGCTGACGAAGTAAAGGGGGGGGGCGCAGGGAGGGGGGGCGAGTGATGATGAAGGGTAGGTGCTGGTGGTGGCTGGGGGGACTGTTGGGCAACTATTAAACAATGTCAGCGAGTGAAATACAAGTGCACGCAGTGCACGGTAATTGCACAGGTCCCGCGGTGATTTATAGGAGAGAATGAGCGGCGCACATTACACAGTCACGCACCCTCCACCATTCGAGGCTCGCAGACATTTTCGGGTCAAGTGTTTCCTGGCTAGCAAGCACCCATTCAAGAAAGTGGCACTGCAGCGATAAAATTTGTTATGGAAAAAATGTATCGATGCAAATATCCACACGAAAATATTACGAAAAAATCCACTTAATAAACATTGCAGGGCAGTGGAACATGCGTGTCATGGAATCCCTGAAAAATATACTTTTCACAGGAATTCTGAAAAACCCTGGCAATGGCTTATTTATTATTTTACATAGTAGGGGCGGAGGGGGTCGCACTTTCCCATACACTTTGCTGGGATCGGCGTTTGTTGCATGACAGTCAGAGTTGCTGTATTTTAGCTGTGTCTCAGAGCTTGGGATTGCCGGATTAAGTGCAACGTCTATAACTTAATTGCTTTGTGAAGCAGCCACTGGTGACGAAGCTGAGACGATAAACTTCCTGGCCTGGAGAACCCCGTTTCAGCGAGGGTAGCTGCCCGCAACTCAAACTCAGGACCTCAGTGCTTAAATCTATCTGTGTGGAGCTCTGAGTGTGACCTCCACCCTCCCTTGTATGCAATGTGGGTTTTCTCTGGGAACTCCGGCTTCTTTCCATGTGTACAAAAAAAAATCCCCGTCATTAATGGAATTGGCCAAACATCCCAGCGAGACACACAGATAGTAACAAAGACAAGGGGACACAGACATAGATAGAGAGACGGGGAAACAAGACAGAGGCTGAAACACAAATAGATACAGAGAGCGACTGATACAGAGAGGAGGAGAGACACGGATATTTTAAAATCACGGTTGCTGAGCACAGGGCACAAACGCCCAAATTTACAAGCGGCCAGCAACAAGCAGCACTCCGAAGGTGTAACAGATAAACATTAATACATGAAATAAGATTTAGCCTCACACGGAGGGCATGTGCACACATCGACAAAGACCCCCCTTAACATGCTGGGAAATTGCTGTTAGCGAGCACCTATGTAGGCGTTGTGTTCGTGGGAAGATTAGGTTTGGGCTAGGATTAGGGTCGGGGTAGGATTAGGGTTGCAGTAGGATTTAGGGGTCTGGTCAGTGCAAGGGGTAGGGATAGGGGGGCACGGTTAATGTTAAGAGTCGCCAGAATTGTGACTTGCAATCGTGGCTGACAAATCTCCCGATGAAGCTGGTGGTTGTTGTTGTTGTGTAATCACCAGCGAAACTTCACAGTACTCGAATTGTAAACGTTGTGGGTTTACTCCTCGCCAAAACACACCTGGAGTGCTGAAGTAGTAACTAATTTACTGACAAACTTTACTAATTGGCTGTGTCGGGTGGTGGCGGGTTAACAACACATGTAGTGCACACACACACACATTCATGTGCACACACACACACACACCCACGTACACACACACACGTGCACACACAGACACACCCACGTCCACACACTTCATTGCGTACACACACCCACGTGCACACACACACCCACGTGCACACACACCCATGTGAACGCACACACACACACACGTGCACACACACCCACGTGCACAGACACACCCACGTGCACACACACACACACACCCACGTGCACACACACACACGTCCACACATACTTCATTGCGTACACACACGTACACACACACACCCACGTGCACACACACATTACGTACACACACACCCACGTGCACACACCCTTCATTGCATACACACACACCCACGTGCACACACACATTGCGTACACACACAAACACACCCACGTGCACAAACACTCCATTGCGCGCTCGCTCTGCATGTCCGCCCGGTGGCCACGGTTGCTAGGAGACTAATTGGATGTCCGGGTGAATGCCGAGGGAGGTGAGGACGCCGAGCGGAAGGACATTAATCGATTAATTGCAATCACCCCGCGCGGACGAGCCGCGTTCCGTAGCATTACCCCCCAACACGGACACAGACCACGCACCCGACTGCTCCCATCGACACGACCACTTCCCCTAACACATAAAAAACACAATATCCCCACTAACGCCTCCGCTAATACTGCTCCTATCAATAGCACCGACATTATCCCGAACACTAAAAAAGACGTGAACACTACCAAAAACACTATCACCCTTTACACTAACACTATCCTTTACACTTCCTAACACTTTCCCTACAACTAAAACTACCCTTAATATTAGCAATACAATTCACCCCACCCCATCAGAATCAGTCTTTATTCATACTGGAGGAATCCGATCAACTCTACAGCTCTTTTCCTATCTCTAATCCTCATACTACCCCCAACTCGACCTCGAACACAGGATAACAAGTGTAGCACTACGAGGCAACCTGTCCCTTTCCAGGGATGTACAGCAAGTAGGTTGTTCCATCTTGATTTGAGGCTTTCGTGACTGCAGGAATCCATACTTTTTGGTTCTTTCGGTAAATTCACGTAGGTAGAAAAAAACCTGCTTAAGTAGGCGCATACTTCAGCAGTTTTTCTTGCTGTGGTTGTCCCACCTGATGACGATTGCTTGTGTTGCGATCGAAACGTCGTGATCTATTATTTTTCTACCTACGTGACTTTACCGAAAGAACCAAAGAGTAAGTAGGTTGTTATGTATTTGTGTATGTTTGAGTGTAATTCCATAATCAGCAGCAGCACCCTGTCCCTATCCAGGGATGTAGAGCAAGTAGGTTGTTGTTATGTATTTGTGTATGTTGGAGTGTAGTCCCATAATCATCAAGAGCACCAGCACCATCACAAGTCTCATGAGAATCCCCGTACAATTGAAAGTTCTTGGTCTTAGGAGAGAATGGTTACTGTTGTAGACACGTGAATTGTTTTCAATACACGCTGAAAATCAGCACGCTAGATTAGCCAGTGTGTGTCAGTGTCATAATCAAATTACTCACTTGTATTATTATTCAGAATAAGAAGGCACAGACGAACAGCTTTTTAAAATTACCATTACAAATACAGTAGTTTATTTTGCAAGTGCTTTGACATTAGTCGCTTAGCAAATTTAAAACGCGGTTAGTTTCACTGTTTCCCCAACTTTCGATTTAAAGCTTTCGTGACTGCAGGGATTCATCTTCTTGGTTCTTTCGGTAAAGTCACGTAGAAGGGAAGTAATAAAATAATAATCTTTTATTTTATTATGTTTTATTTTCATTATTTTATTACTTCCCTTCTACTTGACTTTACCGAAAGAACCAAGAAGATGTTTCCCCAACCTCAGATTTCCCAACACGTTCATCGTGTTCATGCGAAGCCGGCAGCCTACGCCTCAGTTTGGTGGAACGTCAGAGGCTCCTGATCGTGAGATTGTAAATTCAAATCTTCATCAGGGCCAAACAACTGCCATCATCATCATCATCTTCTTCGCTAACAATGGAATTGGTCAAATGAGTGCCAGCAAGTTAGACTGCACCACTTTGTGCCAAGTCAACTGTGGCTGCCTTGTGGACCATACTTTCCCATGCCATAGTAATGTAGAATTGGCCTCAGAATGCCAACAGCGATGAGTGCCACTTGAACCTATGTAAACGATACGTACTTAGAAATGCGAGTGTGCTAGGGCAGCACGCGTCGCTAGAAGCGACGATGGCCGGCGGCTGAGACTAACGACGGAGTCACAGCCAAAGGAGGGAGCATGCCCCCGAGAGGACGTCTCACCGTGGAGATGGAGCGATGAGATCGCCTCATGTCCTGTTGTTACAGACGAATTGTTTTGCATCACGAGACCAACGGGGTTGGCCGACATCTTGGGGAGGCCTTCATCCAGCCGCGGATTAAACAGGGCTGATTGTGGCGGTGAAACGTAACAATTACAACTCACAACGATCTGTATAAACGTGATTTGAATGAGGCAGTCAGCATTAAGTATCGGTGGCCACGTTAACCCATGGAAAGATTCTTTCAAACAGACTCCTCAAGTCTGGTGGCACCTTCCTGCATCTCCTGTTAAACTGCTCTTCCATGCATGCACACACACACACGCAGCTGTGTATCACCACATAGCTCTACTATCGAGAGCAGCAGTGGCACGATGGTCCGCACTGTGATCCTAGTGACTTGAGTGCGATTCCTAGCCACAGACAATATCAGTGGCAAGTGGTACCAGAAGTTGCCCTGGGCTTCCCATAGGTCGACTCAGCTTTAAATGAGTTCTGGGCGGAGTCAGTAAAAGCACGAGGAATGGTGAGACAAAGGTGGCCAAGCGCGGTGATGGCCGCAGTGCTCAATTGTGACGATGAAGAGCTGCCGACTGACAGCCCTTGCCCCCTCTTCTTGGTTCTTTCGGTAAAGTCACGTGACTTTACCGAAAGAACCAAGAAGATGAATCCCTGCAGTCACGAAAGCTTTAAATCGAAAGCCCTTGCCCCATCAATCTGTGTGTGCAAGACACAGTCAAGAGGGGAACAGAAAGCCACCTAGGATAGGAGGGCACCCAAAGCCACACCCTCGGAACTGCATAAGATGAATGAGACATCAGAGCTGACCTCGGAGACCAGATGTCAACTTGGAGACCAGATGTCAACTTGGAGACCAGATGTCAACTTGGAGACCAGATGTCAACTTGGAGACCAGATGCTTCAATATCTGAAGGCAGGAAAGGCTGAAAAGTGCAAAACTTGTAGTCCAGCGATTTTGGAGGAAAGGTTCTATAAAACTCCTAAACCCGATGGGCTGTAATCTGGCTTAGACTCCAGTACAGCAAGAGGCTCTGCGTATACATCTGTGCACATCTTTGGGTTCTATCCTGTTGTACGTGCGGTGGGTATTCTCCAAGCGCTTCAAGTTTTCTCCAACAGACAAAACACTCCTTTTTAAAGGCATTTGGTCAAACATTCCGATGCAGGTTGCTCATGTAAAAAAAAGCCTTTAGACTCGGTCAGAATTGTTATTGTCACATTACAGTATTATTGCAAAGAAGTGACGGCGAGATGTGGTGGCACGATGGATTTCTAAAACCAGAAACTCCTACGTAGTCACCCTGAGGATCTGCCTCTGAATAGGAATGGATGAGGGGTGGGGCAGGGTGCAGACCAGGGCTGTTGTTCATAAGTGGGGAGGTTCACTGGCATGGCGTCATTGGCATGGGGCCCTGGTACGAGGAATGATATTGCGGCCCTCTGTCCAATTTCCCTCCTCATATTAGCTCACCGCCTGGGCCCTTTTGGCATGTAGAGCCCGGTGCAATTGCATCGCCTGCACCCTCAATAGCTACTACACCACTAGGAAGGGCAACATGCCTCTCCCCCTCCTCTCCCCCGCCCCACTTCCTAGTTAATCTACTGGTCCCGAATCGTATCCTTACTGTTGTAGGGGTAAGTACCTTTAAATCGGCCCCTATCTGGGGGGAGATTTAGTCAAGAGGTTACGGCTGGGCCGAGAAATGTTGTGCACACGCGGAATGTATTCCTCCCCTCTGTGACTCCTGTTCTTTGTGTTCAGTCATGAAAGAAAAAAAACAACCAAGGGCAACACATGCCCCACTTGGTCCCCTCCTTCTGCCCGACGGGAGTTCACCGCACGCAGGTGGCTCCACTCGTGGCACCGTGGAGCATCAGGCAGGCGGAGAGGTGATCTTCGGCGAGCGTGCTCCGGTAGCGTTCCCGTACGCACGACTCGCCCGCGCCGGATTCCAGCAACCCGCACACCTCTCCGAACAGCTCGGGCCCCAGCGCGTCTGTTAAGTGGGGGAAACAAGGCGATGGAGCACGCAGTCAGTGCAAAGACCGCACGCCCGGGTGGCCGGGCAGCCAGATCGGTAACCAATCGACCGGATTGGCAACGGTCGACCGAACAAGCAACCTGATGGCCAGACACGACTAGTCAGCCAGACAGGCAACCATTTCACTAAGACTCGACAAACAGCTAGTCAGCCAAACATGCCATCTGATGACCAGACAGGCAACCATTCAACCATATACACAACTAGTCAGCCAGACAGAAAATCATTCAACCAAGGGCATACCTAGTCAGCCACAGAGGCAACCGGTCAACCGTGGGCACAATGCACGACGCACCACAGAGTGAATGAATGCCATGCCCCACAATGTAAATTAATGAATGAGACCACAGTATACGCCAAGTCCCCGTGCGTGAACAGCGCGTGGTCCACGCACGACCGCGACGCGGCGCGTTAATCGTGAACGACGCCGCGCCCTGGCGAGCCGGCGAACGAATGACGCGTCGCCTAACGCGAAGGAAAGACGAGCGGGCGGAAACCCGTCTCCCGGGCATCAGCTCGGAGGCGACACGACACAGCTCATTACCACCTGCCCAATCAATGTTCCGCGCTCGGTGACCCGCTGCGTCCTCCGTGACCGCGGCGAGGCTTTGCTTGCTTGCTTTTTTTTAAGGTTTGCCTTTTCGAGTTTAATTAATTCATTACTTTGTATCCTTTCCGCTCCGGTTTTGTTAATGCGTAAATCGCGACCCCCCCCCCCACGTCCCATCCATCACGGCCGCGCAGAACTCCAGACATCGATCCGCGAGCGCTGAGCCTTCCAAACATTGATTCGGCTAAAATACGAGGGGGTGGGGGGGGGGGGGGGTGGGAGGCATGGGGGGGGGGGGAAAGGGGATTAAAAAAGTTTTATCTTGACCGAAATGAAAAATCATATTCAGAGTAACTTGGTTTAGGTCAGCTCGAAAGCTAAAAACGTGCCCTGTGACTGGTATTGAGCAAACATCCCAATGCTGAAAAATCACCTGCAAGTTACGTGCAAAATGAGAATTACAGATAGCAACATCGCCACCATTACTGTGAAAATTTGGCACGACGCTCCTGAGTCGTGAGACTCGGCGAGGCCTTCCTGGCGAAACAAGCTTAACAACAATGAAATAGGTAAACGGTTAAGACAGAATAAGGAATTATTCTTCGTCTTCTTCGTATGGCTGACGTTGATGTAGAACTATAATTTTACGTTGAGGTGGTTGAGCCAGATGATCGTTTCAGGAGTGATGGAGCATATCTTTGGAATAACAAATGAAGACGTAAGAAGGAACTTGAAAATGGGACGACGACTGTAGAGAATTGAAGATTGTGAGCCGCCATGGTGCGGCCATGTTGAAAGATTGGCACCAAACAGGAATCCAGCAATGGTAGAGGACGACTAATACAAAGATGGACTGATGGAGTGGAGGAGGCACCAGATCGGAGAGGTATGACATGGAAACATCAGCAGCAGGTGAGATATTACGAATTTGGCAATTTGACACCAACACACAATGGCCTACACTTTTCAAATAACGTCACTGGAGTACAGTATTTAAAATCCATTATTATGGTTAGTACACCCACAGTATTAACCAGAGCGGTCTGCCGGATTCAAACCGTGAACCTCTGCAACGATTGGCGAACGCACTATCACTAGGCCACGTCACCACCCCATGGTCAGTGGAAAACCACCCGTGCTTTGAGGGCTCTATGATGGCTCGACTCGGATGTGCCAGTGGAAAAGGAGTATTATGTATGTATGTTGAACTTATTTCGCACCGTACGTAGCCAACCGCGCTAATCGTATTAGCTGCATAACGCATACATGGCTTCGACGTGTTGGTGCACGCCGATGATTCAGCGCGTTGTAGGCGAGGGTTAGTAGATCGCATCGGGAGTTGCTAGATTCCCAAACCCACTGGGCACTGAGTTGGCCATGAAACAGGCGGTACAGCAAGTGGGTTTGTGAGCCCACTCTCTGCTTGTACGCGTAGTGGGTTTTCTCTGGGTACTCTGGAGTCCTCCTACATTGGAATCGGTCAAAGGTAACAATGCAGGGCCCTATTGAAGTAGAGCCTTGAGACTCAAATTCGGCATTCCCGGCTAAATGAAGCGCATTTCTCGAAGATGATTGTACAATTCCTGCTCTCGTATTACAAATGATGTGCACACAGAGTTACCATTCTGAGCTCATGTATCACTTTGGGCAGGAAATGCACGTCACTTCTGTTGAGATATAATCATTCGTTTATGCTGTAGAGCCTCGCGGAATCTCAAGACTATTTAAGGAGGGTCCTGCATTGGGGATGAACACTCAAAAGAGCGAACTTATGGGTTTCACAAACCAACTTGCCGTACCGCCATCTCCTTGCCACCTCACGGCCAAAGTGGATTTAAGTCACCAATTTACACGATCCACCAACTCTTGCCTCCCAAATCGCCACATCACAAGCGTGCGGCCCCCACCCCGCCAGCTCATCACCTATGTGTCCACCCACAAGAGCAAATGTAGCAAGTGCCACCACCACCATCATCACCGCCGCCACCACCACCACCAGCCCCACACACCAACAGCCGGCTCTGCTGCAATTTCGCCACATTTGATACATCGCCTTAATTTCCTGCGGCGTCGTATTGATAGACACCTGAATCGATGTCCGAGTGTATCTGGGCGCAAATCCAATTATTTTGACTGATATGTTTTGCCCGCAGTCAATGCGATGCAACTCAATACGTGAGTCGGAGCCGGCGACGTTGCACCGCTGCGGGATCCACGGGCCCGTGTAAACACAACGGCGACGACAACAACAACAACAGTGACGACCAGGACACACACGGGGGGTGGGAGAGGAATGATATAACGTCGCCCGCAGGACCGTTCGTTTTTTTCACGGGCTAAAATGAAATCGAGACACGCGACGCCTCCGTTGGTGTGACATCCGCACGCGTCCCAGCAGAAGTTCCTCGTGGAAGAAAGAAAAAATCCGACTCGTTTTTGGAAGGCAAATATTGCCTCACTACTAGCCTCACCCGAGAGATTTCAACACATCATTACAATTCAGAGTCACGGTGCGATGCAAGTACTGCATATATGTTCTCTCGAGTCTCGCTTTTACCATCACGTTTGTATTGTTTACGGTTAAATTAGCTTATCCCGTAAGTTGACATGTAATGTGATCGTATCGTTTGCAGTGGCTATAATTTGCTTACATTGAGAATAATAGTTTGTTTTATGCTCACAATATCACGCATGCTCTCCGAGAGTAAGAACCGATTCTTATTGGTGAATGGGCGCATCCTTAGATGCTTACAGTTTAGCGCAAAATAAGACACCCGTGGCCAGAGCTGCGAGATCAAGCGGAGTCTGTTGTTGTCACTGTTTCCTATTGTCAGGGTTCTCGAAGACTTTTATCTTGACTTTGTGGGTGAAGCCACTTCACCGTGTGTCTAATAACAGCAGCCTTGCGTTGCATGCTGCTCTCTAGTTTATGCTAAACACCATTTCTTGGACACTTTAACTACTTATAAAACCTCTGTCAAACCACTGCTGTATTAAGGCCTCCCCATGTCATGCCAGTCATGATCATACATTGATCATTGTCGGTTGGTGGAGGGGGGAAGGCTCAGGGCCGGTGCAGATATCACTCCACACTTTCTTTATCTGTGGCCAGAAATCAAACTGAGGTTACTGGGTTCATAGCGCAGTGCATAAACCACTGCACCACCGCTCCACCAACATTATCAATAACCTGCCTATCTTCGCCCTACCAGCGCTGATGATTACGTAACACACCACGTACACTTTTATGGTTGAGTCAACCTAGAGGTGGCCCAGGAATGGTTCAGATATAATTTGCCACTGACGCTAGCCACGGCTGGGAGTTTAATTCAGTTCGGCGGGTTTGTCGTGAAAGGCGCGCTAGCCCACTGAGTCACCGCTCCCCTCTCACAGACGAACATTTTCATTTTCTCGTCTCACTCTCTGACCCGCACGTCAATCTGCGATCAGTAGCCACGTTGAGCCCTCTCGCGTGCAAAATGAAAGGTGAAGCGTTCTTACTGACAGCATCAACCTTCGCACATAAACGTGTTCAGTAGCAGGCAAGTAGAAAGGCACCGAGTCATAGATTACGTCCAATGTTTACACTCCCAATACACAATCGAATTTGCGAATTATCTGCAGGCGACATTTGCTAATTTTTTACGTTTGGGCGAGCGGAGCGAATGGGGTTATAAATAAATAGACAAAGCAAATGATGATACAAAAAGAATGAAGCAAGACGGTTAAAACGAGATGAAAATCTATTCACTCATTTCAAATCACACACCAAAATCTTGACAAATCTGGCCCGTTGTGGCACTTACACAGAGATCAGCGCTTTATAACTCAGTGGGCCTTACCAGGTAACGTAAAAAATAGTTTAGTTTAACAGCAGAATCTGTTTGTGCCCCAGGGTGCTGGAGCAGGAGACATCTCCCCCACCTCAGTCCTCTTCCACGATACGCGTCTCTCCGTACTTAACGGGAATTCAGTTTCCCATTGCCATCGCTCGGTTGCGTCACTTGACTTTGGAAGTTCGATGGGGGGGGGGGGGGGGGGGGGAGGAGCGAGCTGACTCGTGAGTTACCGGTGCGATACGGGAGGGCTTAATCTTTGTCAGCTGGGGAAAAAATAGGAAGATGAAATGAAAAACAGCCCAATTAAACGGCACTTGATCAAGGTAGTATTGTTTATATTGTTGGTATTAAAATGATAATGCAGGTTTTAGTAAATTGTTGTGGCTCCCTCTGGCATTCCAAACTAAATTAAACTATATTTATTCGACCTGGTAAGGCCCACTGAGCTATATAGCTCTTTTTTTCAGAAGCGACCTGGCCACAAATGACAACTCAACGAAGTGGCTTATCACGTGGAAATGAACAGCAGCCAGATACTCTAAATACACGCTGATTATAAATGCGGA